GTGGATAAATATGGATACGGGCTGTAACAGGATTATGACATCACTCGATAGATCCCAAGCAGAAGCAACTAATTTATGTGGAAATTGTTTTGCTTCTTGAGGAAAAACAAAATGATTGAGAAAATAATTTATAACTAGCATATTATATCGTAAAGTTGGAAAGAGTAATTGAGTTCGTTGTTGATAATCTTTCAGGTTAACTCTTTTCCATTGTTTTATACTTGCAATGATATTGTTTTCCTCTTCCAATGAAATCCATTGATCATAGATCATTTCCGGATCGCTTTCGTCTTGATTCAAACGATTAAAACATTGAACCATTTGTGAATCTGTCAATCCTTTATAGTAATAAGAAATTTGTGTTAAGACAATAGCCATATCTGGATGTCCGAATTCTGTATTTTCCGCTGCAACATCTTTTGCACGAAATGGTACTGCCATTAAACGATTGAATTTTGCATTTTGATTCACACCAAAATTAACACGATAACGTTTTTTTAAACCAACAAATAACACTTCTGATGATAAAAGACCACGCATAATCAAAAATGACTGAATTGTACTATGAGGAAATTGATCGACTAGACCATTGATCGATGAATTTGTATCCAATATAGATGATAAGATAAGTTGCTGATCCAGTTGACGATAACTTTTTTGATTAATCCAATCACTTGCTATTCTTCGACATAATTCTAGAAATGGTCGATGATTAAGCAGACGAAATTCTGGAAAACTACTTTGACGTTCTGATGCTTTGTAAAAAACATCATCATTATATTGTTGTGCAATGTTCGTAGCATGTTGTTTGACTAAATCCAGTACATATTGAATGGTCTTCCAACGTTCCACACCTCCGTCGACTTGTTGTTGACGACCGATCGAATAAATTAATTGATATTTAACATGTAAAATTTCGTCCGATTCATCTAAAACGTCACGAGCAAATGTTTTCATCCAACTTTGAATCGATAACATTGAACGACCAGTATCAAATTCTTGTCGTCGACATTTGTCTATAGTAAGCAAATCAAATGATAGGATATCTTCGGGTGAAGTTAATACGATATCCAGATTATGTAATCCTTGTTTGAGACGATCGAAAATTTTATTCACTTGTACATGACTAAAATTCATATCACGACGACAAGCAAATGGCATTACACGTCGATTTAATAGACCACCTAATTTATATCGTAGTGATTGATAATTCATTGGAAATAATGCTTTCAATACAATGATACGAACTAAACTCAAAGATGATGAACATAAGCTAAGTGCTAACATAGGTAAAATAACTGAAGATTTTGCCTTCACCCATATTCATTTGCATGACAATATTTCGTACTGAAGCATTGTTTTCATTCAACATTGGTTGTATCATATGACCTGCTACTTGAACTTGTATTTCTCGAATTGTAATATTCATTTCAAGTTCTAATATTAACCATGGAACATGTTCTGATGGTATCCAATTGGTATGAGGTACATTTAATATTTCTTTTTCAAAATCTTCCCACTTTTCTTGATTGGCAAAATTTAAAGCTCTTTCGATTTGTTGCTCTACAATCCAATTAACCATGATTCCACCAAGTAGTGTACGTTGTTCAAGTGTCAAGTGCAAAGATAATACATTCAATTCATTATCATTTAACCATATTTGTTGAAAAACAGATATCAAAGTTGTCGGTAAGATTCGTAATACTAAACCCATTTTGACTAGCAAATCATTTGTTATTGTGATGGACTTTACTAATTCA